TTTACAATTTTCTTACCTGGTTTAATTTTAAATTGAGTTGACTTTAGCAACATGCTGAGATGCGATTTAGAATCAGATCGCAAAAAAATAATAATAATAATTAGCTGTATCGACTTCGAATTAATAATTTGCTAATGATTGTACATAAAAACTGGTTTTTGAATCATAAAGTAAAAAAAATTAAAAAAAATTTTTTATATCAAATTCAGTAGGCGATAACCAAACAATTCAATTGCAGTAGTATATTCACGTTAATAGAATTTAAATATTTTCGAATTTAACAATAAAAAAAAAAAAATTTTACAATTTTTCTCTTACATAGATTAATTAATGCTATATAAAATAAAAATTCAGAAACGAAAGAAGGCTTTTTTTATTAGAAGTTTTAGGATCATATGATGATTATTTTTCAATCGATTTTTTCGTTAATGTATAAATATTTCAATACTTATTATTGTTTTACTAATTAGAAATAACTTCTTTCCGTATTTTAGTTCACATTTAATTTCCTAAAAACATTTGCCAATACTATACTTACTCATTATAATTAATATTAGTGTTTTTTAAAAACTCTGTTGAGTTTTATTATCAATAAATTTCTTGACAAAAATATTTGACAAATTTCTCTTGTCGTTACCTCATTATCAATGATAGTGCCGATTTATAGTTTGAGACTTTCTTTAAGGTTAACCAATACATCAAATCATTATGTAGTTTAAAAAAATAAATAAGATAAATAATTTTAAAATATGAAAAAAAGTTCAAACAAACTAACTCGATAGTCAAAAGTTGATGAACGTTACATTCAGATTAAAATAGAAATAATACAAAAAGCAAGTATAAATAAATACGCATCTCTCCAAATTACAGAACAAAATTTACTCATTTTTTATCATCATGAATCGATTTGGTCTAATTTTTTATTTTTATTCATTTTAACTCACTTTATACAAATTGAATTATTATACGCTCAAACAACCAATCCCATTAAATTTATAAAAAATTATCGAAGAGAGATTATAATTAACAATGACAAGGGTGATAAGGGTGTGACTTTAAATCATGGACCACTAGAAGGTAAATCACCACTACCAGCATCAGATGATGATAAAGCACCAGCACCAGAAGATGGTAAACCAGAAGATGATAAAGCGCAAGTACCAGCTGATGATAAACCAAAAGATGGTAAAGCGCCAGCACCAACCGACGGTAAAGCACTAGCTACAGCAAAAACACCTACAGCAACTCCATCTCCAGCGGTAAAAAAGATAATACAGATGTAATAACTAGTTCAGTGATAGGAGGAATCGTTGGTGTCATTATTTTGATTATAATTTCATTATTTATATTTAAAAAGTTAAATAAAAAATGAAGAATAATGCTATATTAACTCCCGGAGATTATGAAAATGTTATGCCAATTTCTGGATCAATTAAAGATAAAGAATTGCCAACTAC